TGCACTTTCATGGCTACGAGAATACCATAGTAGCAACATAAGAGAACTTGGCTTTGGGAATGCTAAACCTAAGTGGGATCCCAAAAGCAAGTATCTCATACTTCCTGAGAACAAGATTTACACACACTATGGTAACACTGGTCATTATAAAAGTGAATGCACTGCAAAAGTAAAGGCAAGTCAAACGAACAAATATTTTGTTCAAGGAAAAACATAGGCTGCCAAGTTGGGCTAAAAAGAATTTGATTCATCATTTTGCCTATAGAAAGGGTCCCAAACTAGTTTGGGTTCCTAAGATTAACTCCTGATTTCCTTTTGTAGGCCCAAGTGAAGGGGAGCAGCCAAATATAGTACATGGATAGTGGCTGCTCAAAGCATATGTCAAGAAGCAAGAACCAGTTTCTTTCACTTGAGGACCTTAAAGGAGGTAATGTCTCCTTTAGAAATGGGAAGAAAAGTGAGATCATTGGGGTTGTAAAGGTAGGTAAGACTGATTCCCACTCTATTGAGAATGTCTACTTGATAGATGGACTGAAGTACAGTCTAATAAGTGTATCACAATTATGTGCTAGAGGTGACATGGTAGCATTCACCGCTACAAAATACTTTGTGATTAATCTTACCACTGACAAGATAGTTTTGAAGGGAAAAAGAATGAACAACATATATGTGGTGGATTTGTCCACACTTTTAGATAACAAACTCACTTGCTTAAGTGTGTTGGATAATAATCCCATCCTTTGGCACAAAAGACTTGGACATGCAAGTCTAAGCCAACTCAACAAACTAGTCTCCAAGGACATGATGATAGGGCTACCTAACATTAAGTTCAAGGAAGATAAAGTTTGTGAGGCTTGTGCAAGGGAGAAGCAGGTAAGATTCTCTTTCAAAAGCGAGAAAATAGTAAGCACTACCAGGACAATGGAACTGGTCCATATGGATCTTTGTGTACCAATGAGAACATTGAGCAGAGGTGGTAAAAGATATGTTATGGTACTTGTTGATGATTACTCTAGGTTTACTTGGACATTATTTTTAATATCTAAAGATGAAGCATTTGACATGTTCACTTCTTTTGTTAGAAAAACAAAGAAACAACTAGATAATCAACTTGCATTCATTAGGTCTGATCATGGTACTGAATTTGAGAATACTAAATTTGCTGAATTTTGTGAAAAGCATGGCATAAATCATAATTTTTATGCTCCTAGGACTCCACAACAAAATGGAGTAGTTGAAAAAAAGAATAAGACATTAGAAGAAATGGCTAGGACTATGCTTCTTTCTAGTAAACTGCCCCATAGTTTCTGGGCAGAAGCTGTGAACACTGCATGTTACATCATAAATAGGTGCATTACTAGACCTTTTGTTGAGAAGACTCCCTATGAGTTACTTAAAGTGGGAAAGCGAAATATATCCCATCTTAGGGAATTTGGATGCAAGTGCTTTGTGCACAATAATGGTAAAGACTCCCTAGGTAAGTTTGATACCAAAAGTGATGAGTGAGTATTCTTAGGATATTATTAACATAGTAAAGATTACAAGATTTATAACAAAAGAATTATGTATATAGAAGAAAGTGTACATGTGGTTTTTGACGAAACTAACATTCTTTCTAAGAGGCAGGAACATGATGGTGAAGCAATTGGGCTAGTAAGAAACTCAAATGAAACCATAACCCAGACTGAAGCTTCACCAGAGGAAGGAACATGTCCTTTCATCCGAGGCAACCTGACAGGGAGAATTGAACAAAGAGGAACTGATCCTCAAACCTCGAGGGAACCTCTCCATGAACATGTTCCACAGCAACAAAACTTTGAAGGAACATCTAGGGGAAACCAGCTGGTTGTGAAACCTTACAAGTATCAAATTCTCATCCTATTGAAAACATAAAAACTGATCCAACCTCTAGAATCAAAACCAGATCTTCTTTGAAGAATTTTTGTGGTTTTGATCCTTTTTTATCGCTTATTGAACCTAAAAATATTGTTGAGGCTTTGCAGTATACAGACTGGGTGAATGCAATACAAGATGAACTCAACCAATTTGAGATAAGTCAAGTTTGCCATTTGGTACCAAGACCCAAGGACAAATCAGTAATTAGCACAAAAATGGGTCTTCAAAAACAAACTTGACGAAGATGGAACAGTTACAAGGAACAAGGCAAGATTGGTGGTTCAAGGATATAGTCAAGAGGAGGGCATAGACTATGATGAGACTTTTGCTCCAATAGTAAGATTGGAAGCAATTAGACTCTTTATAACCTTTGTTGCTTACATGAAATTCACTCTCCATCAGATGGATGTCAAGAGTGCCTTCCTCAATGGCTATCTAAAGAAAGAAGTGTTTGTCAAGCAACCTCTGGGCTTTGAAAGCAAGGAATGTCCTGATCATGTGTACAAGCTTGACAAGGCAGTTTATGGGCTCAAGAAGGCTCCAAGAGCATGGTATGAAAGATTGTCAAAATTTTTGCTTGAGCATGGCTACAAAAGAGGTAAAATTGACAATACTTTATTCTTAAAAGAAAAAGGTAAAGATCTCTTAGTAGTTTAGATATATGTTTATGATATATTCTTTGGAGCAACTACTGATAAGTTAAGTAAAGAATTTGCTAAACTAATGGGGAGTGAATTTGAAATGAGTATGATGGGTGAGCTTAATTTCTTTTTAGGCTTACAAATTGAACAAAATTAAAATAGAACTATGATCCATCAGCATAAGTATGTGAAAGAGTTGCTTAAAAGGTTTAAAATAGAGGACTACAAAGAAATTGACACACCTATAGCAACAACCACAAAATGGATATAGATGAACCTGGTTCATCTGTTGATCTGAAGTTGTATAGGGGAATGATTGGATCCTTATTATATCTCACTACCAGTAGACCTTACATTATTTTTAGTGTAGGCCTTTGTGCTAGATTTCTGGTGAATCCAAAGGAGTCTCACTTGACTGCTGTCGAGATGATCTTGAGATACTAAAAGGCAGCACTGACCTCTGTCTATGGTATCCAAAAGGTAGTAATTTCAACTTAGTGGGATATGTTGATACTGATTATGCAGGGTTTCATGTGGATAGAAATAGCACCTCAGGTATGGAACACTTTCTTGGCTCATGTCTTGTGTGTTGGGCCACCAAAAAGAAAAAATCTATGGCCTTGTCTACTGCTGAAGCTGAGTATGTTGTCGCTGCCTCATGTTATGCTCAATTGATGTGGATCAAACAACAATCAATTGACTTTGAAATTGATGTAGGTTGTATCCCCATATTTTGTGATAACACCAATGTAATTAGTATGACCACGAACCCGGTTCATCACAAAAGAACTAAGCACATAGATGTTAGGCATCACTTTTTTAGGGACAACTATGAAAAGGGTTTGATCACTGTGGAATTTTGTGCTATTGACAAGAAAATAGCTGACATCTTCACAAAAGCTCTAAGTAGAGATCACTTTGAAAGGAACATGTTAGAATTAGGGATGATTAAGATCACCTAAAAGGAACTAGTTCTAACTCAAAAATTGGTTAGATAATTTGTGAATTTTATACATAATTAGATTAGATTTTTTTCAGTCCCATATGTTCACTAGTATACTCTTGTGGAATGTGTTAAAATGTCTCATTAATCTCTAATGATATTATCTTTATTTTGGAAAATTCAGACTTAAACATGAGATTTCTCAGTGGAGAACCCAATTCATCAAGATTACATGGTACATACTCTCCACTCTATATATTTTGAAATAATTATATTCGAATTATGATCAAAAGGAGAGTCCCATTTAATCCTAGTCTTACTTGAGCTTATCCGTTACAAAATGAACCAGTTTCACCCAACGAGAGTCGCAAAACACAATAAGTGCCTAGATTCTAGGTAGAGTCTTCAACGTCTGTTCAAACTAACTCCCAGTTTGATTAGACTTCTGAGTTTCTGGAAAAGCTGTCGTTACCCAATTAAACTCTCCCTCTTTAAATTTAATTTGTACTTACACATTTCTCCACTTCTAAACTACCCTACCGTCAAACAACTCTCCCCATCTTCTCTCATCTCTTCTAAACACTCATCCAAACACAACAATGGAAAACCCTTCTAAGAATCCCTTATCACCACCCAGGGAACCTACACCCACTCCATCTATCACACCCACCTCTAAGAAAGGATGGTTTAAGATGATTTCTCGCAAGGTAGTCGCTGGAGGAGAACAAATCAATAAAATCAATTAGCAGTTAAAAGCAAGTCGGGTAGAAGAACCCTAGAAATATGAAGAATCATTTAAGTCTGCCACTGCGGGGGAAGAAGCGGTTTTATCTGAAATAGAGCAGGTAATATCTGGTCCTAAAATTACATATGAGATAATTTCTGAGGTTGCTGAAAATCTGGCAAAAAGGTTTGTTTTGGTGGGAACTATGACTGGGGTTGAAACCACTGAATCTGGGAAAATTGGAGGTAAAGATAAAAAGAAAAAAGAAAAAGAGGGTGAGAGTACTGAAGGTGATGTGAGGGGAATGAAAAAAGAAGGAGTAGCTGAATCTTCACCCACTCCTGATGTTTTGACTGAAGAAACATGAGCTATAGTATTGTGGAGTGAGGAATTTGCTGGAGATGAAGAAAGTTTGAGAGAAAAAGGGGGTAGTGTGTCTGGAGATACAAGTTCTTCTAAGGAGTTGGTAAGGTTGAGTAAGAGGTTCCAAGAACCTGTTCCATCTATGCAGGAGCCCATCGAAGACCTATTGAGACGAGTGTCTGGCAGTTACAATCCTAAACGAGAGAAGAGTTCAGGTTTTAAAATCCCTGGAACTGCTTGGGCAAACAAGAAGACAAAGGATGTTTCTTCTATCCCTATAGAGACTCCTCCTACAAGAGGAAGAACTACAAAGAGTCAAAAGATGTAGAGTGACGCTGAATTAGAAAAATCCCTAGAAGAGAGTAAAACAAAAACTGTTGCAAAGGGAAAGGAGAAAGTGGTTGAGCCTGTTGAGGCAGTTGAAATTAAGGAGATGGACCTGATTCTTCGTGTTGAATACAAGGTAGAGGAGGAAGAGGTTGCGACTCCAAAGACAAAGAAAAGAAGGACTTCCAAAAAAAAGTCCCCTTCAAAGACAAAGTCTGCAGAACCTTCTACCTTGGTGAAAAGAACCAGGTCTACCGTGAAATGTAGAAAAGTGAAAGTAGTAGAGGAAGAAGAAAGTGAAGAAGAAGAAGACGAAACCGATGAAGAACAAGACAAGAAGGAGAAGTTTGGTAAAAGAACCATCTTGAAGGGTAAACTCCTTAGTGACTTGGAAGAGGAAGGCATGGTCATGCTGCTGCAAAAACTACAACTGCAGGGTTGGAAGAACATGGTCTTTCAGATGGATAGAAGGCTTGCCAGGGCTGAGATTGTAGTGTTCATGGGAAACTGTGAGATCAGAAATGGTAGAGTCACCAGTGTGGTAAAAGGAGTGACTGTGAGCTTCGACGACAAGGAATTGGGAGAGATTTTAGGTGTTCATACTGAAGGGTACAATGATTACAAAAAGCTCAAATGGTCAAGTCTGGAGAACCTTCCTACCTCCCTTGCCATTACAAGAAAGTTTGCTGACAATGAGTTGGAGTTAGAGGCCAAGGCTGTATACAAAAGTGAGATGAAGCCACCTCACAAAGTGCTATTTGAATTTGTTAACAAGGTTGTGCTGCCCAAGCAGGAAAGAAGGCACATTGCCATATTCATGGACCTGGTCCTTATGGAATGCCTGGATAGTGGGAGGCAGATTAATTGGTCCGAGTTTATTATCTAGCTCCTTGATAGGGTTCTAAAAAGCACCAAAACTCACGCCATACCCTATGGTTTCATTCGCACCATCGTACTGGATCACTTCAAGGTTCCCTTAAATAAATGGGATGTTAGTATAAGCAAGGATCACTTCGGAGCAAACACCTTGACTGGTTGTGACTATGAGGTTCATGCTGCTACTAAAGAACCTGGTTCATCCAAGAAGGTGCCTGTGAACAACAAAAGTGAGAGCCTTGGTGAAAGAGAGTGGGGCTAAGGATATTGAGAATGAAAGACTGAAGAAGAGGCCGGCTGAAGTAGAAACTGAGAAGGATGCTCTCAGGGTTGAGCTTGCAAAGGATAAGGAGAAGAATGAAGGCATTCTTCATGATATGTTGCAGCTACTTCAGGCCAGAAACCAAGAACCTAGTCCTTCCCAGCCTTGATACCTTCCTAGTCTAGTTAGACAAACCAGTGACTCGGATGAGATTTTTTTGTTCTTTTTGCTCATGATCCAATATCTTTATTTTGCTTTATGCTTTGTGGATGACTAGTATCAATGATAATCAACTGTTTTTGTGCTCTAACTATTTGTTGATGCTTCTTAGATAACTAATATCATTAGATTGATAAATGATGCTTGACTTAATATTTGCATTTGAAGTAGCCCTAGTAGCCATGAGTGATATCTATTAAAATATGGTTATCTAACATAATTATACAACTTTTTGATGTTTCCAAAAGGGGTAAGATAGGTTGTGCTTTTCACTTTGGACTGTGATGTATATAACCTAATGAACCTGGTCCTTAATGATTTGTGACTTTAAAATAGAAAGTGTTCTAAAATGTGTTGATGTTGAGTTGAGTTGAAACAGGTCTTAGGCGTATGAAAAGCACAGAGTTTGTCATCATAAAAAGAAAAATTTTGTTGGCCTAAGTGAAGTTTGTTTTGATGATTGACAAAGGAACTCAAACATGAACCAGGTCCATATACTTTGTACATAGACACGGGCATATTCGAGCACAAAGTATGCACGTGAAGGAGATAAGCTTATGTGTTTATATTTGATATCTCCTAAATGAAAAGGTTGCATAAGTGATAAGGATAAGGACTCCTTACTCGAAGAGAACTCTATCCTAGATAAGGGAGGAGTTAGAAGTTGAAGTTAACTAGAACTCTTCCACCAAGGAAGAGTATAGCATTAGAACTCTAGTTATTTCTTATTCTACTAACTATATATATTTCAGGATGTTCTCATTTTACAGGTACACACAAACGCTGAAGTTAAATAAGAAATAGCAAGGCATTATGCAAGCAATTCCTGTGTGATTCAAGTGTACGAACCTGAAGCTACATGAACCAGATAGAATAACCAGTTCCAAGTGTCTGTCTTTTATTCTAGTTTCATTGTTGTAGGGATTTTCAGTTGTATCTTTCAGCTTTATCTAGAAGCAATTGTACTACGTACTTTGAGTTTTGTATTCAAGTTAGAGTTAACTTGAAGTTGTTGCAACAGCTAGAGGCTGGTTGCCATAAAGGGTTAGAGGTAATCCTTAGGTTTACAAAGAGTTTTGTAAATATTTTTTTTGGCTCAGTGATTAAGTGAAGTGTTGGAGAAAATTCTACTAGGTAGTAGGTCGTGTTTTTCACATTTTGAGCCGGATGTTTTTCACGTAAAAATACTTATGTTCTTTACTTTTCGTATTTATTATTCTGCAACAGTAGGATAAATAACACATAGAAGAACCAGGTCCTTTTATAATCTGTACGCTCAAAAATTGAATACCACACAAATCATCTCTCCCCCCTATGTGGTATTGAAGTATAAAACATCAGAAACAACAAATATAAGGATATATTATGAGGAGGTGTTGTTTCTGCAGAGAAAAAGAAAATATAGATAGCCAGAAAGTTCTACTTTTTTATTCATTCGCATCACACATAAATAGTAAAATTTCCAAGAAGTAGACTTTTATTTTACCTCAATTAAACAACTAAACAAATTCCTATTCTATCTTAAGTGAACTACTAAATTTCAAGATTAATTTATTTTATTTTTAAAAAGTAACAGTAAATATCTCAAAACTTCAACACTCCTCCATGAGATTTTTATTGGTAACTCTAAGTTACTCTCAAAGAGTTTGAAATCTAAATATGGGAAGAGCTTTAGTAAATAGATCATCAAGTTGATCCTCAGAACAACAATGAACAAGCTTGATTTCCTTATTTTCTCAACTTCTCTAGTGGCATGAAACTTGACAAGGATTGGATATGCTTTTCTTTTATGCTGCACTGGCTGCAATTACATTTGCTGATTTCTTATCACATTTGATCTTAGTTGTAATTTGTAACTTCTAATATCTTTCAGAATTTTTCTCAACCAAATAGCCTTATTTATTGTTGTAGATGCCGCTGCATACGTTCCCTCTGCAGTTGATTGTGTCACCTCAAATTCCATGAAAACACATCAGAACTCAATAGTGCTCTTCATATCATTGTCATTTCCAGCCCAATTACTGTCAACAAAGCCAAGCAAATTACCATCTTCAACTGGTCCAAATCAGATTCAAAGCTTTACAGTACCTTTTAAGTACCTAAGTACTCTTTTTGCAGCTGCAAAATGAATGTTGCTAGGACTTTGCACAAATCTTAAAAGCAATCTGGTAGTATACAATAAATTATGTCTTGAACCGATAAGTACAAGAGACTTCCTATCAAGTTTCTATAAAATAAAGCAACACACTTTTCAACTCCATCTTCCTTTGAAAATTTGGTATTCAAAACCAATAGTGTACGAACTGTTTTGCAATTTTGCATTCTGAATTTCTTCAAAATCTCCGAGGTATACTTTTGCTGATTGAGAAAATTTTCAGCCTCTCATTGGTACACTTCCAGTGCCAAAGAATACTGTATTTCTCCCAAATTTGACATTTCAAATTATTTTTTCATTTTTCCTTTAAACTTCTGCAACTCTTGCTCATCTCTACCTATAACAAGCACATCATCAATATATAAAGAAAGAATTAATGAACCATCATTAAAGAGTGTATTTACATAAAGTGTAGCATCGTTGTTGCTCCTTCAGAAGCCTTGGTCACACAATTGAGCATTAATTCTGCTATACCAAGCCCTGGAGTCTGCTTCAACCATATAATTTTTGAATCTTATACACCCTATCTTCACTTATTTGAATCACAAAACCTTCAGGTTGAGCAATATAAATCTCCTATTCTAGAAAATCATTGATAAAAGCATACTTGACATCTAAAATGCCAGATTTCCTACTTTATTTGTGCAGCGAATGTAATTAAAATTCTGATGGTGTCCATCCTCGCAACGGGTACAAAAGTATCCGAATAATCAACTTCAGTCTGTTGAGAATAGCCTTTGACAACAAATCTTGCTTTGTTCTTGTTGAAAGATCCATCTGCATTCAACTTCACTCTTTACACCCATTTAACTCCAATAACTTGCTTATTTTTAGGTTTGTCAACGAGCTTCCATGTCTCATTCTTTTCAATCATGGCTATTTACTCTTCCATTACTTGCTTCCATTCTTCAAACTTGTTGGCATCTTAAAAGTTTGAAGGTTCCATCACAACAAGATATTTTCTTCCATAAATTTCAGCCAATGGTCTAGTGTCTCTAATAGAAAAATCATCATTATTTTCTACTTCTAGATCTTCATTTGAATCCTGGAAAACAGGTTTAACATCCATCTCTCTAACATGAGAATTATTTCAATCCCAAAAGGCATCTTTATCCATCTTCACATCTCTACTTATAATTTACAGATTCAATATTGTAAATTCTATAGCCCTTGAGTAGAGATATAACCAACCAAAATTCTATTTTAGCTTTTTTATCAAGATTACTTCTTTTGACTGCTGCTACATGAGTATAGCATCGCAAACCAAATACCTTTAGATGCCTAATAGATAATTTTAGACTACCTGAAGCTTTACTTGGTAACGTTTCATGCACAACTCTTGTTGGTAATCTATTTTGCAAGTAAATAGATGTGTTTACCGCCTTTGACCAAAAAGAATTCGGCAACTTTCTTTTGAAAATCATACTCTCGCCCATCTTAAGAACTAATCAATTTTTTCTTTAGGCAACTCCATTTGCTGGAGGTAAGTGACTGCAAGTTAATGCTCAATTCCATAAAATAAATGAATTTCACTTGAAGCATTCTCCTTTTCATTGTCTGCTTGGATACTCTTCAGTAAGCATCTACGTTGAGTTACAGCAAATGCTTTAAACTTGTTGAAAACAACAAGTACTTCAAGCTTTTGTTTAAGAAAATATACCCCTAAGTCATCTGAGTGAAATCATCTATAAAGAGAATAATAAACTTGATATCACTTAGAGAAAGAATTTTCATTGGTCCACAAATGTCAGAACGAACCAGTTGTAACTTCTCACTTGCTCTCCAAATTGCTGACTTTTGAAAAGGAGACCCTTGCTACTATCCTAGTTGAAAACTCTCATACACATCAAAACATAACTCAATTTTAGGTAAGTCCTTCACTAAATCATGCGTTTGGGCATATTAAATTGATTTCAAGTTGTAATGGCCAAGTCTTTTGTTCCATAATTTTGAATCTTGCTCCAATCTACTACTTCGATAAGCTTGCTGAGAATTTGAATTCTCAAATTCCAAGAAAATCTTCTTTTTATCATTTTTAATCATCTCTTGGCCACTAGGATCAGAAACAACATATTTTCTATTTTAGAACAACAAAATATAATCTTGTTCAAGCATTTGCAACAGATATTGATCAAGATCAGGCACCAACAGGACATGAATAAACTTAGTACCTTTGGAAGTTTCAATCACCACAGTTTCTTTACCAGTAATTACCACATTTCTATTATCTGCCAACTTGACAAGGCCTTTGGTAGATTCCAACACCGTAAAGTGTTCTACTTTTTTGGTCAGGTGTTGAGTGAAACCACTATCCAGAAACCAGGTGCTTTGTTCATCTAATCTCATTATTATCATTGCTGTAAACACAAGCTCCTCCCGTTGTTCAACCTCCAAGACGTTGGCTTTTTGAGTTTATTGGTTCTCTATAAGGACCCGGCCAGTGTTTTGAGTATTTTAGCCTGTTTTCCCTATTTGATACTTTATATATGTGTTTTGTGACTTGCGGAGGTTGGTTTGGTTTCGAAAAAGTTTTGTATTGAATCGGGACACTTAGTTCCAAGGTTGGAAGCTTAAGTTATAAGTGTTGACCAAAGTTTGACTTTTGTGTAAATGATCCCGAAATGGTATTTTAATGGTTCCAATAGGTTCGTATGGTGATTTTGAACTTAGGCATATGTCCGAATTTGGATTTAGAGTTTTCTAGATTTATTTGATTCTATTTGGCGAAAGTTGAAAACTTGAAGGTTTGGAAGGCTCGTAGGTTTGACTGGGAGTTGACTTTATTCATATTGGGT